AGTAATGTGATTACATTCAGCCAGTGTTACAACCGAGCCAAGTCCTCCAGCCAGTGGGAACACTGGATTGTCCAGGAGCACCAGGTGTCCTGGTACACACCTGGTACCAGTCAGTTGGGACCTGGCTGCATCTTCACTCTGAATACAGACTTACTCTGCAGGTAGCACAGCTGTAGGTATCGCCTCATCTGAGCAAACTGAGGCTACTGTACCATCCTCAATCTATATTAAATGAACTGGGAAATCTGCTTCTGTGGTAGTTTTCCTGCTCAATCAATAATCTGCCTTTGATTTAAAGTGTTGACTGTTAAGAGTAAAAGCTAACATCTAAAAGTGAACTGCAAATTTTAATGAAATGTGATAGGAAGTTAAGACATATCTCTAGTGAATGTGTCAAGAGAGGATACGTCAATTCCAGGCACAGAGTCAATGCAGACAGGTTAAAACATGTTAAACATTGTGTGATTGCCATCACTGATGTGTGAAGGGCTGTCACTGGTAGAGTTTTGCATGATGATGTGTTACATCAATCTAAATAGTCTTACTGTAACACAGGATACAAATATTCCCAACAATATTGTTTCTGCGATATTGCAGAGATCCTAGGTGTTGTAAGGAATAATTCCCAAGAGTTACCTGCTGACTGTCTAAAGAGCAGGAAGTAAACCAGGCTGATTAATCTTAGTGACTGTTACTTATTCATCCATCACTGCTTTCCCTTTGAAGTAGCTATGCCCATGCTAGTCAGGGACAGATAAACTCCAGAGAAATCAAGAAACATGTATACTGCCCCTGTGTTTGATTTAAGAGGACTTGAGACTAATTTACACTGTGTTATCAATAATAATGTAGAGAATATAAGAAGCATTTGTATTTGGTGCTGTGATAGTGATCTTAAATGTGGTTGGTGAAATTACCAGGCTCAGTGAGAAAATCCGGCCTTTCTTGCAAGCAGCACACATGCTTTCCTTGGGTAACTGGCTGTGGCAAAAATTTCTGGCTTCTCATCGTGTCTCTCCTGTGTGTGGGACTGAAGTAAACAGGTTTTTCTTGAGTTTATTTTCTTGATCTACAATATGGAAAAAGGTAACCAAAAATAGTGAAACTCTTAAGTCAAATAAATGTAGTCATGACAGGAGTTCATTTACAGAATCATAGAATGTCCTGAGCTGGAAGGGACCTATGAGGATCGTTGAAGTCCCAACTCCTGGCCCTGTGCAGGACACCCCAATAATTGCACCATGTCCCTGACAGTGTTGCCCAAATGCTTGTTTGCTTGTTGAACTCTGTCAGGCTTGGTGCTGTGACCACTTCCCTGGGGAGCCTGTTCAGTGCTCAAACATCCTCTGGGTGAAAAAGCTTTTCCCAGTGTCCAATCTAAACCTCCCCTTCCCCAGTTTCAGGTCCATTCCCCTGGGTCCTGTCACTGGTCACCAAAGAAATCAGTGCCTGCCCCTCCACTTCCCACCCCTTTTCTTCTCCTCATGCAGAAGATGTAACTGCAGTGAGGTCTCCCCTCAGTCTCCTCCAGGCTGAACAGACCAAGTGACCTCTGTGCTGCTCATATGGATTCACCTCCAGCCCCTACACCATCTTCATTGCTCTCCTTTGGATGCTCTCTAACAGCTTCATGTCTTTTTTATTTTGTGGCACCAAAACTGTACCCAGGACTCAAGGTGAGGCCACACCAGTGAAGAGTGAAATGGGACAATCACCTCTTTTGACTGGCTCCAATTGCTGGCTAAACTCTGGGGACAATAATCATGTCAGCCCTGCCTGACAGTACAGTAATGGCAGCTCTGAATCTGTGGTCTGTGTTGGGGCTTCTTCTGCAGTTTCACAGCTTCAGCTGGGTGGGAGGCAGCACTAACAATAGGTGAAAAGAGCAGTAATAGAGCAGTTTGTTGCTCTTACTAGCAACAAAGGTGAATACAGGATAACCTGTAGGTGAATTTTGCTTTTAAATGGCAGTTAGTGATCCCAAAAGTTTAAGCAATGTCAAGCATGATTTATTAATAAAAAATGTAATTTAAATATTTTTGGTGGTTACTTCTTCATGCTCAGTGTGTATACGGGTGAGTCACCTTTTGCTGAATCACTGAGTGGTGTGCCTCCCAGCAGCTGTGTGTAGGGAATTCCCATTTCACAAGTGGGAATCTACCAGTAGTACCTAATGAGAAAGCTACCTCAAGCTAACCTTTGAAGCTGGGGACACATGACACAGTGTGATCGAGTGATCAGAAAGGTATTGGCAGTGAAGTCTTAGGAAATCTGTATCCTGCTCTTCTCATAGTTCCTTGTATGAGTTAGAGTAATTAATCTGTCTTTCTTATGCTCCATTATACACTCATGCAACTTTTGGAAATACTATATTAATAAAATGCCCTTGACTTTTTAAATGAGAAATCACTACTGCTGTGTTTGTAATAATACCATTATGTTCAGTTACTTTCCACTGTGACTGAAACAAGTGTTAGTGTGTCTCACATCTTCCTTTCTTGAGAAGCAGCCAGGCGTGGGAGTAGGCACACTTAGGAAACCCCCCATGTAAGTTCTGTGACTCCTTGTAGACCACCCCCATGAAGTGCCCAATGCTAAAGTGAGAGAAAAGGCTCTTTAGTGAAGTTGTGTCAGGTAAGGGAGTGTGCAGAACAAAATTGTCTTTTATGAAAACAAAAATAATGTCTATCTTCTGTATTTTAGTTGTGTAAGTAAGGTTAATCTCTGTGTTAAGTAGAGGAAGGACAGTGGGTTGTTATGTAAGCAGGAGTGTCAACATTTTAAAATGCTAACTCCCTTTAATCTCACTACATTTTAAGCCTGGTTTGAGTTTTTCCAGTTTTAGCTAATTCATACCAACCTCTCAGTTTTCTCCCAGAAGCACTTCACACTAGAAAACCTCATATGCTAATGATATGTAGGACAAGAAAGTCTACATGACTAACCAGGTACAAAGTGCCACTAGTTACAACCTCCAGAAAGAAAGACCTATAGGATCAGAATCCAAGAATACTTGGGAATAGCTGCTGTTGACCAATCTGTATCTAGAGCTGTTGTTTTCTAACTTCTTTTTTTCACTTGATTTTTTGCTAACCTTCCCGTAATGTAGCAAAATGTTAGGCAAAAAGAAAAAATATTTTCATTTGGAATTTGTAAGGGTTTGCTAAAGATACTGGTTGTTATTATTTCTTCACTGGTGACTTCTGTGCATGAAAATGTCTGTGGATGCAGTAGCTACATTCCTAACTTTTATTATCTTTAATGAACTCAGATTAACTAACTTAATTCTCCTTTGGTATCTGATCCAGCTATTTGCAGGACTGGTTCAGTGCATGAGAAGTTATTGCCTTTGGCCTTTTCCTGGTCGCGCTATGTTTTGTTTGTTTTAACCAGGAAAAGGTAGATTGTACACATGTGTAGCCAATATAAAGTGTGATCTCCTGGAAGCAGGAAGTCAGTTCCAATAGGTACTGTTAGGCATTTGTGCTTTTCATTAGCACCAAGGTCCTGTGTCTGTGTGAAAACAGTGCCTTTAGGCCCTCAGAATCAATACTGGCAACAGCAACTTACAGCTCAGTGGTTAAAAATGAATGTAGAAAATCTTCTGACTTCCTCTCCCAAACCTCAGATCCAGATTCATGGCATATTTAGTTTGAGCCACCTGCAGGTCCTTTCCTGTGAAGGGCAGTCCTGCACTTCTGTCCTCACTACCTCCAGAGATGTGTTCCCATTAGTCATTGAACCTTTGACTCAAGTCTATCTGTTGGGTTGCTGCAAGCTCAAGCCCACAAAAAGTCTTTTGTTGGATCAGTGAGTTCATGTGTAGTTGTGGTATAGATCTGACACAAAAGAAGTAGTGAGATTTTGCAGCTTGAGAGAAGACTGAATAGGGCCACCCCTTTCTCCTGGTACTTGCAGGTAGATGAAACGAAATATATTGTAAAATGGCACACAAGAGTTACATGAACAATTCTTTTTAGCCCCTGAATCAAAAGCAAATTATACCAAAAAATGAAATGGATCACAAATAGGAGGAAAGGAGGGTAAAGAGCAAGAGAAGGGCAATTGAAGGTATTAAAGGGAGGAAAAGTAATAAGGAAGAGGGAAGTCACTAGAAAAGCAGGAAGGAATAAAGAATAATTAGGAGATTGTATGCTGGCAAATAGTGATAGCAAATGCAGGTAAAAATTAGGAAATACCTTTCCCTAGTGGTTGAGCATACTTGTCTTTCAAATATGATAGATGCATGAATCTCAAGAAACAGTTCTGTCTTCCTGGATCGAACTGGAATGCCATTGTTTTGTGAGCAGTCCACAGTAATAACCTGAAAGCCAGAACCTTTGCCCTCCCTGAGCTCAGTCTGGGTGAACCACAGAGGGAAAGTCCCAGGCACAGTGCCTGTCCTGAGAAGCGCTTGTTGCAGAACAGGCACAGCCCTAAGAGACTGCAGAAAAGTCCCTCTGCAGTGAGTTTACCACCGGTATGTTGGTTCACAAGTGGGCGACTAATGTGGATGTGGTTTTCATACAGCCTTAGTCCCGAGGTGGCGGATTTCCGTGTCCTGCCGCTCGCCGCTCCCCGCAGGGCAGCCCGGCCGTGTCGGTGCCAGCCCCAGCAGGTGGGCTGGAGAGACGGTGTGCTCTGGGCTCGGCTGCTCCGCAGTGCCTATCGCTGAATCCCAGCGTGATTCGTGCCCTCGGCTCACTTGGAACTTCTGACATCTCCATACAACTCTGCCCGAGGCCGTTCGTGTCATTTGAAAAAGCACTGTATTTTCTGTGTGGTTGAGAGTAGCTTCCTTTAATGAATTGGTTTGTTGTTCCTTTTCTTCTTTGTGATTAGGGAATTAAATTAGGTATCTGCTTAATTTGCATTGCAGGTAAGAACTGTGTGAAACTAGAGTAGTCTAGAAGTCCCTTTAGGTGAGACACACATGAAAGTATTCCATGTCACTGTGTTTAGAGCTAAGAAAATCTTTGGGTTTGCTTTGTTTTCTGCAGCTGCTTGATGCTGTCAACTGCCTGGCAAAAGAGAATGCCAGGTTGCTTGTGCTGGGCCGCAAACATATGCTGATGAACTCTTCAAACTGGAAAAGAGAAATTGTGAAAGAGATGCAGAATAAGGCAGACTTCTTCTTTGCTGAAAATATGTAAGTTGAAGAATACAGCTCAATAGAATAGAGACCAACACTTGATTTATGTGCATTTTGCGCTAGCTTTTAGTAACATTACTAGTCTATCTGTGTCTGTGAAAGAAGTATATCCTTTGCTATACTTGCTTCAAAAGTACACAAATTCATATTATGAAGACTTTCATCACTTGGAATCATATTGACAGCTGTATGGTTTATTAGATTTATGACTGATAAAACCACTGCCAAGAGGACGGTGCCCTGAACTACAGGATTTCTGATAGCATCAGTGTGCAATTGTGGTCTGCTGCTGTGTGAGGGTACACTGTCAAGTTTTAGCAGTTTTGTTCTACATAGCACAGTATTGTTGAACTTTGGCAGGAGACTATATTGTTCTATTGTCAGATTGTGAGAAGAGGAAAAAAGTGCTCTAAGTAGCATGCAATTAGTTTTTATTGCACTCTAGCTTTTGGTGCCCTGTGGTAAACAGTTTTTTACTTTACAGGGAACTAGAGTAGTGGTGGGAATTTTCAGTGTTGCCGATGAATAAATCCTGATCAGCATTTGAATCACTTCCTGCAGCCACTTACTGCCTTGTGAATGACGTCTGTATTTTCCGTTTGTTTTGTGAAGCTCTGAAGATGATGCCTTCTTGTTATATGCCACTCTCCGATCGGGCAAGCATTGCAGGTTTGTTACTAGAGACTTCCTCCGGGATCACAAGGCTTGTCTCTCTGACAGTCTGACACGTCACCTGTTCCGGAAGTGGCAGCGTGGGCACCAGATAGTTTTCTTCCCTTCTGCAGATGGAAGGAGCATAAAATTTTTGGTAAGTTTTCCCACTGCAGTCAGAAAACACACTGAGCATATTCATTGAAGATATATTATTTCAAACCCTGGAAGCCAAAATATCTTGTGGTAGTCTAAGAAATGGATTTGTACCAGTGCACTCAAAACTCCCGTGTTAACTGCAAATTCATTGGATTCACAAAGTGTGGCACAAACAAGAAAACTGTGAGAGGGCCAAGAAATGCTACCTAAATGTTTAAAATGTAAATGTACATAAAAGATTATGTATACAAATATTTCCAGTGCTGGAAACTCTGTAACCATTACAGGCCTCAATAAAATCTGAGTGCCAATGTTTTTATTTATTTTAAACCTTGAAATCCCATATTGTCTTCTGCAGCACTATTATAAACTATCATATTTCTAATTTTACAATAGAGTTTCTTTTATCTTTATTTTAAAGAAGCAGAAAAATACAGGTATTTCAGTATTCACTGTAATAGTAACCTAACATCGGTGTAAAGTTTCATGAGGGAAAGGCCATAACAGTCAGGTTTATAGTTAGTATTCAGCTACAGAAATTGCAGTAATATCATGTTATGGCAGAATACTACTATTATTGTCTAGGAGTTCTGTATCCTTGTGATTTTTATTAACAGGAATGCAGCTGTTTTAAGATTTTTCTAGGGAAAAATCTATCATCTGATATTCTTTATGCAGTTCTTTTGTTACCTGGTCTGTCTGCATTGTTGTTGCCTGCTTAAAGGAATACTGCACCTATGCAGATAATTTTCTTCCTTTGCTGGTTAAAATTGTAAAATACCATTCATGATTACAAACATGTAATATGTTTGCCATATATAAATTTCTTCTTATGGAGCCAAATAATGAATGGTGGGTCACCTGAGTAACACAGCTTTAGGTACACCTTGTTTCTTTCTCTTGTACAAAGGGACTACTGATTCCCAAGTCTTAATTCCCATACAAATTATTTGAGTGATTGATATTCCCAATCATACCTGTCTTCTAGGTTATTCTGGAAGCTACCGCAGGAAAGTAGACTTCTAAGACTATACATATAGAGTGATAGTATGTCCTGGGAACCATAATTACCAACCAGTAATGTTTCTTTTGTATTTGTCTTATATATGTTGAATTAGTATACCTGCAACATAGTAGACCTGAAAGATTGTTTATTCAGTTTGTTCAGCCAGATGCTTGTGAAAGTCTTAGTGATAAACCTTTTTCTTACATCTCCTTTTCTTTCTTCTCCTTGGGACAGAACAAGTCAGCTCTGTAAAGAGAGACACTGGGAGAACAAATACAAGATGTCATTAATGTCATTAAATCCTACATTCAAGCCTATAAACTCCACATCCTGAGTAATTCCCATATGATTTCATTTAACTGAACAGAACAACAATCATTTTGTCATTTCTAGTAATTGAGTGCATTATCCTGAAATCATTATTATCTAGTGCTGATTGAAGACAGAATTTATAATGACTCCTAGACCACAAAATACTAGAAGGTAGTTTCATTTTTCCTCCAGGACTAAAATTTAGGATTTATTTTGTACAAGAAAATAAAATGAGAGTTGTTAAGAGATAAAACTGTGGAGACTTTTAAGGTAAGCATTGGAAGTCGTAACTAACTACTTATAATTGACATTTTAGTAATACTTTGTACAAAGTCCAAAAAAAAATATTTTCCCTCTGTTTTTTCCCAACAGCCTGCTCTCCGTTATGACTGTGTGGTACAGACTACAGGTGATACATGGCATATTCCCTATAAAGATGTTTTTGAGGAAAAATATTCATATCAAATACCAAGAAAATGGCTCTGCATTCAACAGAAGTTATGAAAAATGTAATTGGACAAGCTGAAGCTGCCTTTTTTTTTTTGTAATCATTGTTGCTGGCTAGGAGAATTCAGCAGGACGATTATGCGATTAAATGTGTGAGGTGTGTAACTAAAGAAAATTGAGTGACTGCTACTGCTTTTGACAAAATCATTCCTGCATACATCTCTTAACATCAGTGGTGGTCCAGTGGGGGTGAATTATGTCCATTACTTCCATTTTTATAAGCAATTTTTGTGATTTGAATTAAAACTTGTTTTTTCCTGTTGGAATTACAGTTTGAGCATTTTTATATTTTACTTTTTTCTCAAGCTTTTAATCTACACTGAAACTGTGTACATTGAACAAATTAAGCAAGACTTGCAAAGTACCTTCAGAGTTTGTGGTGCTGAGCTTGCAAGAGTGTTGCGCAATGTCTACCTCTATTCAATGGAGCTAAAGGGGACAAACAGTTCATTTACCATTCACCAGACACACACACACTTAAGACTTCCTCACTTTAATTAGAATTTGTTACATCACACAGAACGCAAGAGGGTTGCTTAGAGGAACATATAGCAGTCATTCGTTTGGAAAAATAAGGAAACAACCAGTGAAATGTGGGGTTTTTTTGTGGCTCTTCCACACTCCTAAATTTGCCATTTACAAGTGGATTTGGCATTACTGCAATAGTTTGCTGATGGAAATGCATGGATTTTTTTTTTAAAAAATGGATAGCTAGAAATTCTTAAAGACAATAATAGGACAAAATTGATTCTTGTATATTTCTATAAAATCTATCCCAAGTTGTAAAGCAAAAAAATAGTATAAATTACAGGAAAAGTGTTCTACGTTATTCGTAAGTGTGTGTGTGGTAAATGTGTTTGTTTATTGAACTTGTGACTTTAATGCAAACCTTTCTGCCCCCAAAACATAGAAATGCCACATAAATCTCAGATGAAATATCCTGGGCTTGTCACATTTGTCTCGTACAAAATCCTCTGTTCAGAACTGAGATGAAACATTAAGATCTTTTTGTATAGAACTCTCAGTTCTGAGTTCTTGTAGGGCCCCATGATGAGCTCCCTCAGGACTCAGCATTCAAGCATGTTCCCTGCTATTTTTTTTTCCAGGACACTCCTGACACATGTTCTGATACCAGTTTGTAAACCAGCAGGTGTGATTTGCATACAGTCATGTCCTTCAGGTACTGGGCAGAAAGTGTAGAGGAGCTGGGTGCCTCTTAAGGTAACATAAAACCTTGGCATTAAATTCATCATATTGATGGTAGTGTTCATCACAGACCCTTTTCCTGACAGAACATGACAGCTCCTATGGAGTCCAGCCCAGCAGGGAAAGCAGAGAGATTGGATCTACTTCTCTTATTTCTCAGTACTTCTAATTTGTCAGAAGATTGCTTTTATAATTAAGTCAGAGAACTGCCACATTGCCTTGGAAATTGAAATACTGCTTTTAAATTCGGTGTCTGCTCCTGTGCAGGAGTGCTTATGTAGCAGCTGCCGCTCTGTACGAGGCTCCTGCACCTCTGTATGAAGTTGTGCATGGCCTCAGCTGGTGTCAGTCAGTGCTGTTACAGTCCTCCTTTGGTCCTAGCTCTGATGGTCGTGCAGCCCAAAGCAATGCAGAGATGGGTCTTAAAACTTTGTTTTGGCTAGGTCAGAATTGGCATTGTTGCACTCAGCTAGCGCCATTGCACAAGTATGGGTACCTGTGCGAGAGTGGGGTTCAAATGGCAGGCTGCAGAAGGTAGGTCCTTGCAGCAGCTCTGCCTTAGGTCAGCTCTAGCTGAGCAGAAACTGCACCTTCAGGGTACCCATTTCATTGCCAGATATATTCATCTGTTAAAGTTTGTATTTTACCTCACCCTGGTCATTAACAGGCATGCATAATATCCACATATAGCTGTAATAAATGCATCTTCTACTTCCTTTTTAATCACTACATGTCCCTATGTCCCTCATCAATCTCTTGGGTTTCACCTCAAGAACTGTTCTTAGAGAGATACTGTAATGCCTTCTAAATAATAACATTTCCTAAATACATATTACTAGTATATTTAGGGGATGATTTAGGGAACAGAATACGGAATTTACAACTGGAAGGTATTACAATATTGGTGTCAGATTTGTGACTTCTTTTTTCCGTGTTTGCTGCTAATACACTTCTCTGTAGATCCCTACAGGAATCAACAGCCTCTGTGGAATCAAAGGGGAAACATTAGTGATGAACTTACAGACTTTTTCAGGTGTATACTACTTGTTACATAGATGCACATGGTATCCAGAGCCTCTGAGGTTAATTATTTGTTCTGAGGTTAATTATTTGAATTTTATTTAAGGCATCTGTGAAATATTTCTTTGAGTTGCTCTAAGTCTTCAAATTTCAGATTACTGAAATACTGAATATGAGGATTTGCTTCCAAGTATCTAAAAGGAATTCTGAGGGATTCACTGACAATAAAAATAAATGTAAGAGCCAAACCAAAGGCAGTACAAATAGCAGATCTATTTGACATCTACTGCTGTTTGTATAGTGGTACAGTAAAAATTCAAGGTAATTTATTACACAGATGGGTTCATGCTGAATGCCAGAAAGACAAGTCTTTCAAGCAATTGGTACCCCCAAAGAGACCCTGACTGCCATTTGCTATGACACTGAGTGAGGAGAGTGGGAATCAGAAGGAATGTGCCCTTAGCTTAGCTTGCTGTATGACATGGAGACAGAGACACACTGGCAACATAGAGTTGAGACAGATGAACTGATTCAGCCTGCACTCCAGCTATTATCACCTCCAAGATCTCCCTACTTACTGCTTACTGTGTGAAAAAGATGACAGTGAGAACAGCTTTCCTTGGGATCCTGAACACAGAATTTGACTCCATACCCCATACTCACCAAAAGTGATTTAACATTAAACCAAAAGCATGATTGCTCTTCTGAAACAATGCTGTACTCTGGAAGCTGTATCCTGAAAGTACCTTAACTTCCACTCTGTCACGTCCATGGTATTGAGTAACTATTACTCCTTCCTTTATGTAATTCAAATACTGAATCTTTGATTCCAAACGTAAGGTGGCAATCAGGCTGAACACTTGATATTTACTTAGATTTTCTCATGTCCTTTTCTCAGGGGAAAAAAAGATCATTCTAGAGAATGAAAGAGCTTTGTAGATGGAAGAACTATAAAGGTGTGGGTCATCATCTTGGAGAAACTGGTCTTAAGAGACATAGAGGTCATAAGAATCACAAATGGAATCACGTAGAAAGGAATGCCCAGGGATCCTTCATTGGCTGTGTCAGTACAAAAGCATCAAATGGTAGTGGCAGACAGAAGGTTCACATAAAAGGTGAGGTTTCAGATAAAACCACAGAACATATTATGCAGACCAGCTCTTTGTCATGTTGTGGTTTCAAAAAGTACATGTGGGTTTAAGGGGAGACCAGAAAGTTCATGAAAGGGAACCAGCAAGGGTTACTAAAAACCAGACACTATCCCTGCCTTGGAAGTCTCTCCAGAAGGTTGGAGACTGGGAGGGGATTCAGGGAGTGTATCATGAAAGGCTCTCTCTAGTCTTAAATCCTTGGGTATCCCCCTTTTGGCCACATTTGGAGACAGAGCAGTAGGTGAGACTGGCTCTGTTCTGACCCAGCAGACGCAGTCATACGTGTTCGTGTTCTGTTTTCAGTGCTTGCAGCACCCCTTTGAACTTGGCTGTGTGTCTGCCCACAGAGTCCTCCCCTAATGAAAGGGACAAACTCTCAGTCTTGTAATACACAGTGCGACATTATTCTTCCATAGTATTAATAAGCAAGAAGTCTTCTGGAAAAATTTGAGAATACAAACTTTTAATGCATGGCATACACAAAATCCACCTTTATTCTGCTATTTCAACAAAGAACAAGCTCACCTAATAATTTTTAAATAGAGGCGTGGATACCAGAATGCAGCTTTTCCATCTCTTTTAATGACCAACTTTTAAAAAATGCCTTCCCACAAAGAGCAGGGGAATTCCAAGATGTTGAAAGGCAAACAACTAATACTCACGAGTTTAAATTTGGGGAGTTTCCCTTTGGACTGGACACCGATAAAAAGTCCTTTAAACATCGCATTATAACGCAGCTGCGGCAATAATTACCTATGCGTACCTTAAACACTATTGTTGAGGTACTTGCTTTAAAATTATTCTCATTCTAGAGGAGACGCGGAAATACTTAGTTAGGAATTTTACGAGGAATTTGGAAAAAGAAATTTTGGAATTTGTTTTCCCGGCTAGCGGTGATACTTTTATCCCGCGTTGATGGCTGCCGCGATGATCCTTTCATTGCGTTCCCTGAGGCGCGTCCGGCGGAATTCCAGGTTTCCGCGGGCCGACTCCCGCACCCAGAGCCGCCGCCGCGGCCGCGGACACGGCCCCGCCTTCCTCCCGCGGCCCGCGTGACGTGACGTGACGTGGCGCGGCGGCGCGCGGCTCGGGCATGCGCAGCGCCGGTGCCGGACCGTGACGGTGCGGGGTGTGCGCGTGACCCGGAAGCGCTCCGGCGGTGGCTGCGGCTGCGGCGGGGCCCTGCACGCGGACAGTTCCCCCCGGCCGCGCGCCGCTCCCGCGCCGCTCGCGCCATGTCCCGCGGCTCCAGCGCCGGCTTCGACCGGCACATCACCATCTTCTCGCCCGAGGGCCGCCTCTACCAAGTCGGTGCGTGTCCGGCCCGGGGCCGCCCCGAACTGCCCCGTCACGGGCCCGGCCTGCCCGCGCCCCGCCGCTCCCCGCCGAGCGGGGCCGCGGGCGGCTGGCGGAGGCTCCGCCGAGCCCGGCAGCCCGTGCCACGGGCCGAGACGCGGCGCCTCCCGGGGCTCGGGAGTCCCGGCTCCCACCCGGCCTGGCCCGCGGGGTGTGGGGGAAGCCCGGTGGGAGCGTGGAGCAGCGGCGGGCCCGGCCGTGCCGGCGTGGGGACACGGGGAAGGGATCCTCGCATGAGATAAGGAAACGGAGAGCCAGGGTGGACTCCTGAGCGGGCCCTGCCGCCGCAGGGCCCTCCTCTGAGCCCTCGGTGTTCCGTTTCAGATGATTGCAGACCAAACTTGCAGCTACCCAGAGGCTGCTTAGCCTCCCTTAAGTGTTTCTTTGAGTGAATCTTGCCAAGCCTCGGAGCACTGCGTTTTGGGATCTGGGAAGTGTGATAGCTGTTTGAAATGAGATTTGAACTGGCTCAAACCCTGCACGGCAGAGTGACAAAGCCAGTTCTTGGACGGAACTCATGCACTTTCTTGTTACACCTGAATGCCGCTTGTTCTGCACACTGTGGCCTGTGAGATAGCAGCAACCTTCCTTTGTTTTCAGGTTTCTTGGAATAATCTGAAGCCAAGCTTCAGCTTCTTCTGTAAGCCAATGATGCTGTTATTCCTGTTTTTGCAGTGCACCAGATTGTACAGAAGCACGTCCTGGTGCCCCTTGTGCAGGATACAGTTGGCTCACAGGCTGGCAGGACAGTAGTCTGAGAATGCCCCTGGAGGATCCTAGCAACAGGGACAGATTAACTGTTCTGCAGCATCATCCTGATGCTGCCTTCCCCAGCTGCAGTGCCTTCACTGCACATCCAGTGCATGTTATGTCCCTAAATCCGTCTGTTCTCCAGGAAAAGAGCTTGCTGCAGTCAGATTGTATTAATTGCTTGTGGCAGCCATATATTTTTTTTGTGACTGCCCTTGAGTTTTTCTCAGGGAGAAACCTGTGTGGATTAGGCCTCATGGACAGGTGGCCCAGTCTTGAGCAGTCCTTTCTGCAAGGAAGAATTAGGAAGGTGCCTGTGAGTAGGTATCTACACAGACAGAAAGTTACCTGTACTAGATACCTACATGTGGGTGATGTCTTCTATCTGGAGCATGTATAATGGTTTTTATTCCTTATCCATAGGAATGGTAGGGAGAGTGCCTCCTCACACAGGGTTTCAGTGGTTCTGTGGCAGAGGAGTCCTAGGCTCCAACCTTCCACTGGCATTAAAACAGGCTGGTTGGTCTGCATCACTTCCCACTGTCACAGCACTACTTGTTAGGAATTGTTTTTGCATTCTGTAGCAGAGAGGAAACTGAGCCTTGGTTTTCTGTCTCTGGGGTATATTTAGCCAGTAGGTTAATGTATGAGAAATGTGTGGTACCTCCATAACTTTTAACAGTGTCTTGGAAACAAGTATCTGCATGTGTATTTGAGAGCTTCTGCACATAGCCTGAAGCTGTCTTAAAGCTATTTTAAGTACCTATGTGCTATAGGAAGAAAAATATGTAGATGTGCATAGTTAACTTCAAGCAAGAATGAGCTCACTTTACTCACAGCCAGGCTGGTAACTCGGCCATGGTGCCCCATGGGTGTCTCTGTTTGCCAGCATCCAGTCACAGCATGGGCAGAAATCTCATGTTTGCTTGCAATCAGATGTCTACATCTAGATAGATGGTTTTGTTTTATCTTTGTCTCTTTGCTGGATTAAGGTTAGCTGGGGGCTGTCAAGGATGAGCATGGACATGTGTTGCTATAAGATTGCCTTAAAACTTGAGTTTTTTCTGGAGTTTGGCAGTATGGGAACAGAGATTTCCAGCATAGTGATTTTTGACTGAAATGCCTATACTTTGTCTTAGGTCTGTCTTCTGCTTCCAAAGCTCAGAAAACTCACATGCCTTTGATCACATATTAGAAAACTTAACAGTTATCTCGCATTACTGTGGTTAAAATCCCTCAGAGCGTCAGTGTTCTCTTGCTACCTATTAGTTTCAATCTTCAAAGGTGACGTTTCTTCTAAGTGGAGTTCTGGGAGGTGAAGAAAATTACTACAGTAAAATTTCTGGCTGTTGCCATATATTCAGGGAACAGCAAGGGGCTGTTATTTTCAGAGTGGATGTCTGCCATGGTGCTGAAATACATAGCAATTAGCAGTTTCCTTGAAAACTGAGCAATGGAGGTGGTAATAAGGGGATGCAATTTAGCAAGCTTGGTTTTTGGTAGTTGTGAACAAAAATTAGTTTGTGATAGGCATCTATTCCTAGTACCACCTAAGTGTCACAGAACCACAGAATGACTGAGATCAGGTGGGCCCTCTGGAGATTATCTGGCCCCAAGTCCCTGCCCAGGAAGGCCCATCTGGATGAGCTGGATGCCCAGGAGAGTTTCCAGATGGGTTTTGAGTAGTACAGGCAACCTTTCCAGTGCTCAGTCACCTCTGATTTGGTCCTGTCACTGGGCATCAGTGAAGAAAGGCTGGCTCTGTCCATCAGCTTTACAACCTCCCTTCAGGTGCTTGTACAGATAAATAGACAAGTGTTGCAAAGCTTGTGCTCAGGGCTTCAAGCATGACCAGTTTGCAGGCAGTGCTGGCTCTTGTCTTACTGGGTTTGTGCTCTGCTGCAGGTTGGCACTGATCATCCCAGGTGAGCAGAGTTGTACAGAGGGAAAGGGGGAACATCCTTCATGGCACATTTGGGTAACCAGTAAATGCTCTGATGTCTGAGAGTAGTAAATACAGTGCCATAAATACACCACAATGAGCCCTTCCTCAACACTGACTCAGCAGATTGAACATTAATATACTAGGTTTGAATTTTTTTCATCTTCAGATTATGACTTGTCTGTTGTGCAATCTTGTCTATAGATCTGCATGCAGCTTTTAAAATAGCCAAGTTTCGTGCTCCCATTATTTTAAGATAGTTTTAGCAATTTACTGTGCGGTTTGTAGACGTGTTCTAAATTCTGGGTTCGCGTGCGTAGCCAACAAAAAAACTCACCTACATTTAGCTGCTGTCTGAAACTTACCACTCAGCCACATATTAGAAATTTCTGAATGTTTGTCAAATATTTCCAGGTGAACAGCTTTTCAAGTTCTTGTGCCTAAGGCTTTTGAAACCAACAGTCAGGAGAAATTTATTTCATGGATCATTTAATGACTGTTACTTTAGTGTTTGCTTCTTAACACATTGTATTTACATGAATAACACTGTTAAATTGGTAGCTTTCACTATAAAAATTGAAGAAAAGCATTGCGGTGTTTAAATGTCAAGTCAGAAAATATGATAGTTAAAACCTGTCTCCTGTGCCTCTTGTGTCATCCTGCCAGTTTTCATCTATATCAGTAAAAAATTAGAAAAGAATCCTTTAAAATTCTAAAATTCATGTCAAAAATTCTTCTGTAAGAATTTGTAATTACTGTAGATTAAGGTTGGACAATTTTCGTCAAGTTCAGAACAGATTTTTTGTATTAAAACTTGATTCTGTTGCTGTTAAGCTTGAACTGGACAAAAAGTCAAGTTAGAAGAAACATTTCAAGGAAGCAGTGAGAGTGGTTTTCTGAAGAGAGTCAATGCACATTGTACTAAAGATCTGAAGGACACAAAGCGTTGCACAAGTATTAAAGTATTAAAAGGCCATAAATTGGTGAGATTCATGTGTTGGGGGAAATTGTTAATTGTACTAGTGTCTCTGACACAAGTTTTTTATTAACATTTGTATGTTTTTCTAGAATATGCCTTTAAGGCCATAAACCAAGGTGGACTTACATCTGTAGCTGTTCGTGGGAAAGATTCTGCAGTAATTGTAACACAGAAGAAAGTTCCTGTAAGTAGTCTGTTCTTGAGGGGAGGTCTGGAAGGAGAGGAGGAAAAAAGATGGGGTGAGACTCATCAATACTGATATTATATTTATTAGCATTGACATAAATTTCTATTTGAACTGAATATCTAATTATCATTCTGCTTATTACAAGTTCTAGCTCCATGTAGTGTTCAATTGTACATTTTCTCACTAAGTAGTGAATATGGGTTTTCTCTGTAGCTGTTGAAGGGATAAATCTAAAATACAAGTTGACCCTGCTGTATTGAGTGTATATTGAGGTGACCCTGCTGCATTCATTGCTCTGGCTTGTAAGGGCTGAGTTGTCCATAACCAGTTCCCTCATTTCTTTAATTTCTGCTGAGAAAATGTGATACCAATAGCACATAGAGGAGGTTTTCATGAGTGTTTCAGCTCAGTGATGATGTACTGTTGAAAAAGAGGGGAAATTCTTTTATGTTTGAAAAGCAGCATGCGGTAAGAGAGTAAGCTTTTTTGTATGTGGGTTCTCAAAGTTTGTTCAGAGGGAAAAGGACTGTGATGTTGATCATGTTCTTGTTCTTCTCCTTCTCCAGATCTGTGGTTTAAATCTTCCCTATTCTCCAGTTTCTTCCTTTGCATGCCTACAGCAGTAAACATTGGAAAGCCTGAAAGAGAGTTTTTAGCTGTTATGAGTCCTTTTGGGCTCTTCTGTAAAAACCAGAGGATTTAGAGTTTGGGTTTTTTTTGTTTGTTTGTTTTCTTTTTACTTCAAGGACAGTGTTTGCTATTACTTACTATTTCTGTTTCCTCTTTAGGACAAGTTACTGGATTCCAACACAGTGACTCATTTATTCAAAATTACTGAAAATATTGGCTGTGTGATGACAGGAATGACAGGTATTTAATTCACCAGTCTGGTTTTGGAGAATTTGCCTAGTTATAATGGCTATATTTAAAGACAATGTAAAGTTGGACCTGGAATTTATATTCTCAGGCAATGCTAGAAATAAAGATGGTACATATTCAGTGGAATTAATATTAGTTCTTTTTGTCTAGCTGACAGCAGATCCCAGGTGCAGAGAGCCCGCTATGAGGCTGCTAACTGGAAGTACAAGTATGGGTATGACATCCCTGTGGATATGCTGTGTAAAAGGATTGCAGATATTTCTCAGGTCTATACACAGAATGCTGAAATGAGGCCCCTTGGTTGCTGTAAGTACAGTTTATGGAAATGATCTTTACTGTTGCTTGTCTAAGTGTGCAAATTCACATATAAGAAATTCTCACCCATTTTCAAAATGGGTAACTGAGGGAGTAAGGGGGTGAACAGCAGAATGAGGGAGCAGTGTTGTAGGTCTTGAACTGGAGCCATGGTTTTACCATTGACTCAGAATTTGAAATAATATAGCCTCTCTGATACTATTTCACCTTAGTTTTTGGGGCCTGGTCTGTTTGCACTGTGCAGTGATGTCTGTGAGCAGGAGATGCTTGTAACTGTGTCTGTTTGTGGTGGTTTGACCCTGGATGGATGCCACGTGTCTGCCAAAGCCTCTCCATCAGTCCCTTCCTCAGCTAGACAAAGAAGAGAAAAAATACCATGGAAGGCTTATGGGTCAAGATAGGGCAGGGAGGGATCACTCACCAATTACCACCATGGGCAAAACAGATCCACCTTGGGGAAATTAACTGAATTTATTAACAAGCGAATAAAAATAGGATACTGAATAGTAAAACAAAATCTTCAAAACACTTTCCCCCTACCTCCTTCACAGATGTAACTTTATTCCTGGTTCTCTACCTCTCCCACGGTGGCGCAGGGAGATAGGAAGGTGGTCTGTGTTCAGTTCATAGTACATTGTTTTTGCTGCTACATCTTCCTCAGGGGAAGGACTCCTCACACTTTCCCTGCTCCAATGTGTTTCCCATGGGAGACAGTGCTCCAGGAACTTCTGCAAAATGAGTCCTTCCCACAGGCTGCAGTTCTTCACAAACTGCTCCAGCAAGGAGCCCACCTTATGTGGGGTGCGGTCCTTCAGGAACTGCTGCTCCAGTGTGGGCTCCTTTCTCCACAGCACCACTGTTCTGCCAGGAGCCTGCCCCAGCACAGGCTCCATGTGGGACCACAGCCCCTTTCAGGCATCCACATGCTCCAGTGTGGGCTCCTCAGGGGCTGCATGTGGATGTCTCTCCACCATGATGTCCATGGGCTGCAGGGCCACAGCTGCCTCACCATGGTCTTCACCACAGGCTGCAGGGGAATCTCAGCTCTGGCAGTTCCTTCCCTACGTCATTTACCTCAGTGCCTGCAAAGTTGTTCCTCTCACCTATTCTCGCTCCTCTCTTCTCTGTCTGCAATTTCCTTCTTCTTTTTTTTTTTTTTTTTTTTTTTTTTTCCCTTCTGTTTTTTTTTAATACACTATCCCAGAGGCACTACCACCATTGTGGGTGGGCTTGGCCTCAGCCAGCAGCAGGTTGGTTTTGCAGCTGGCTGGCTTCAGCTCCTTGGGACACAGGGGAAGCTTGTGGCAGCTTCTCACAGAAGCCAACACTGTAGCCCTCTCACTACCAAAACCTTGCCATGCAAGCCCAGTGCACTGTGTCTGGGTGAACATTGTTAGAAGAGAGAGATGGAGAGTGAATTATCCTTGTGCAGGTTTTTTGGCTTTTTAATCTAAACAGTATTTATAGGACAGATTCACAACATTTTTGCACCTAACATAGCTATCATATATATATAATGTAGAGGGAAAAGTGCCTAAAATATTTTCCTTGCAAACATTTCTACATGTCTTGTTTTATAACGGCAAATGCAGCGTAAAAAGAGGTTGTGTGTTGAGTCATTTTTTGTCAATGTTCCTGTTCATCTGTGTGTTCTGGGGTTGGTTCTGACTTATTTTCTCTCTTACATTGGGCTGTAAGCAAATTATAAACATACTGTTAGGCTGTTCAGGAACTGAGGTAAAAGACTTAACAGGTTTCCTCAATTACCTTTTCATTAAACATTCTGAGTTTCTTTTTGATTGGTTGGGTTTTGTTGTTTTTTTTTTAAGGAGAATAGTTTCACAATTGATGAATCACTTCTTGTAACCATAATAGGCACTAAGACTAAAGAAGCAACATTCAGAGTTGTGCCAAAGTTTCCATGATGGGGCAATTTTCCTATGCTTGTGTGCTTGTAATTTTCAGGAAGGATTGTTTCTTTCTTCCCTTGGCATTTCCCATGCCTTGATACTGCTGGAAATCCCTTTTTTTTAGTACATGAATAAAAATGTATTTTTCATTTTTTCCCTTAGCCTTTTTGAAAATATTAGGGGATTTTTTTTTATATTGTAGTAATAGCTGCTCAGAAATTTATCACCTCTAACTACTAGCTGAAAGTTACACAAGTGTAAAGTGAAAATAATTTAAAACCATGACCTTGTTCTGTTTTGGGTTTTTATTGCAAGTATTGCTTTTGACTTATTTTTTAATATGCATGTTGAGACAATGCAGCTGTAAATCAAGACGTGAGGGTGAACACATGCATTTCAATGATGGGGTCAATTTGTGTTACTTGAAAACTATCCAGCTTCAAAACACTTAGTCAGATGATCTTCAAAGACTCAGTTATGTCCTGATATTTCCACTTTTCATTTCAGATTTTTTAATTTAAAGAGGAAAATGTAATGCACTGTTTTTTTCAAGGTTACAAACAAGAAATCTAAATTTGATCTTTTAATACTTCCATTAGTTTCAGCATGTTTATGCCTTCTAGTAAAAGGCACATGGTAATAGAACTATTGTTTATACTTCTGTGTCATATGACACAGGATGTGAGCTTTGGTTTGGTAAACTTTTTATTTCCTGACTTTGTGGTTCTCTACACACTGAGCATGGCAAAAGTGTTTGTATATTTAATGAGTAGCCTTCTTTGGGAATGACAGAAATATAGTTTCTGCTGAATTGGGTTGCACTCGTGGTAATGAGGTGCTGCTAAGAAATGGCAAATTAGAGATAAAAGGGAAATCACAGCTCCAGGTATGGGACTTATTCCCAGAGATGCACTGCTGGCATGCATGTTTTTTCACAGAGAGGAGTATCCATTCTGTTCTTCAGTTGAATAAAATTGCTAAAATTGGGGAAATAAATAAATTAATAAATTTTCTCTTCAAGGTATGATTTTGATTGGTATTGATGAAGAACACGGCCCTCAGGTATACAAGTGTGATCCAGCAGGTTACTATTGTGGATTCAAGGCCACAGCTGCAGGAGTTAAACAGACAGAGTCAACCAGTTTTCTTGAAAAGAAAGTAAAGAAGAAATTTGACTGGACATATGAACAAACAGTAGAGGTAGGCCAGCAGAAGGAAATTAAAATTTATTTAAAGTATTTTTTAATGAATATGCTGCATGTAGTCTTGCAATGCAGAGAAATGTAGTTAGGCATTTCCTCTTTCCCTACAGTTCTCTGTTGCTGCCAGAGCAAATACAGCTATTCTAACTAGAAAATGATTTGAAAATATTCTACAAGTGTTTGAATGGTCATCTAATCTGCTTTTTTTGCTTTATGTTAGCTGAAGCAGATTCTATAATTGTAGCATTCCCACTGTAGCTCGTGTTTGGTTACTACAGTGCTTGATTTTGGGAATACCAGTATGACTTAACTTTTAGTGACATTTAAAATAATATTCATATTAGAAGGTATTTCAAACAGTATCTTTGCATGATAAAAGGTTTTGGTTTTGTTGTGTCTTTTTCTGATACGAATACGAAAACATGTCCCTTTGCTTTTTGTAGATTAGGCTTTTTAGGGAGAGGATTGGAAAGGGGCTGTATTCTGTAGCAAGGGGAAACTATTTAGAATTTCTAAGCTGAGATTTTGAAGTGAGAGGAAGTAACTTTAAACCAGAAGGAAGGATAGTTGTTAATGCTATGTCTATTAAGAAAAAAAAAAATAGTGCTTTCTTTCTAATGATAGGGGTTTTGTCATCTTTCAGACAGCAATAACATGTCTGTCTACTGTACTATCCATTGATTTCAAACCTTCAGAAATAGAAGTTGGTGTAGTCACGGTGGAAAATCCTAAGTTCAGGTAAGCAATCAGTGTTGATACAACTTGGTGTGTTTCTTTGATTATGTGCAATTAGTTTACCTTCTTGAGTAATCGTAAATTGAGAAAAGGTATAAATTTAAGAGATTGAAGTTTTGAAGAGTTTTTTACTTGTAACTCTTCAAAATGTGTAGGGGTAGAAAACATTGTGTAAAAAGAACAATGCAGTTTAAAAATGTGTGACATGGTTAAGGGATTTAGTAGAGAAAAGAGATCTCTTTCATGTTTTAAAAGGGTATTGCTTTCTGTGATGACTGAATGTAGTTACATCGGCTCTAAAAGTGTTTTCATGCTTAGAAGCATAAACATTTCTCATAGTAATGGTATCTGGAGTCCACTTCCAAATCACAGTCATACTAACTAATGCAGTAAAGTCTGGTTTACATTATGGAATATTTACAAGTCCCTTAAATTTCTTATTCTTTTTCTAAAATGAATCTTTAAATTATTCTTGCTCATCTTTTAATAGTTAACATTTTTTAACATCTAAAATATGTAGTTAATAGATTATGGACTTGTATAGTTTGGAAAACTGTATTTAAATTTCATAAGATTAAAAGATCATGGATTTTAAAAATCACTAGTGATTTGAAAATGGCTGACCTATTTTCCAAGAACTCTGCATTCCCATCTAGCATGAAAACAAGGCACCTGCTATTTCTTCCCTCCTCCATTATTGCCTGCGCACACTGTGTGCACCAAGATTACTTGGCCAGTGTATCAAGGCAACACCTGAAGTCTTCCTGCTGAGGGCAGGAAAGCTTCACATGGCATACAGTGCACTTGACAGCCTTCTCACAACTCAGTGTATAGCTGCAGGAGACTGCATGAAATGTGGAAGAAAAAGTTTTGGGGAGTTTTTAGAGTGCAAAAGAACCCTCCAGGTATGGCTTACCTAAAATGTAGGTAAGTCTGGCTTGCTGCAGAGAGATCGAGTTATTTTTGCTTTAGTCTTTAATTGAGGGGTTTTTTTTTATTATTTTTTTATTTAAAAAGAAGAAGGAACAGTAAAATTGGGAACAAAGTCTGCTTTTACTTTAGTCTGACTACTTCGTAAGTGGGGACTGAAGAGAGACTTCAAACCTTTGGTTCCTACAGGTTCAGTGTTTTAAGTGCTTCCTTCCTAATGTTTTTAAGGTGGACATGGTGATGATGGGTGGTTTTGCATTTGGTGGTGTGTGCTGAGGACAACAGAGCAGCACAGTGTGAGAAAGCAGACAGGAGCTGCATGACCCCTTTTCTACTGCCGCTCAAGGGATCAAGCTACCTTCTCACTAGGTCTCAACTTGCAAATGCATTGCTCATGAGGAATTACCTGTTATTTTTCTATCATTTGTTACCTCCTTGCTCTCTAGTGCCTTTGATTCTTCCTTTATTTTTCAAGAGAATTGGAATGTCAGCCTGTGGCACTGGCAGCAGGGCTTTAAAGGGCAGAAAGATGCATTGCTGTAAAACTTATTTGTATAGATATTAGGTTGTAATATTGGAGCTTAAGGGGAAGAATCATTTAAGCTATTTAAGATTTCTTTTTGTTCTTTCAGGATCCTTACAGAAGCAGAGATTGATGTGCACCTTGTAGCTCTGGCAGAGAGAGACTAATTAGCATTCCCATTTCCATTGTCTGTGCTTCTGGCCAGGATGTTTGGAGAAAAGAAAACACTTAATAATGGTTTTAGGTTATGGGTGGAAAACAGTGTTCGCTATATGATGTATTTTACTCTGTACAAATAAAACAGAGGTTTTTGAAATTCTTGGTGTCTCCTTTTAATGTTATTTTTTAAAGTTCCGATTCTATGAAATTGTCATCAAAATGCTTGATGACTTTTAGTGTTTCTGTGGTAATTGCTTGCCTTTTAATTGTATTTTAAGAGAAATTTTATGCTCTGAGCTGTATCTTTCATCTGAGTTATTTGGCTCTTTGTGTAAAGTTAATATCAATTTTTGTGGTGTGTGTGTCTTAAGATAATTCATGTTCATGGCCTGATGTTGAAAGCCTCACAACATTACTGGTTTAATCGTGGGGAAGTTAGGAAGACCTTATTTGCTCAGGTTTATATGAGAATATAGGGCAAAAGCAGAAGGAAAAAGCTTGAGCTGTGAGTCCAAGTCCAGTTCTTTGGACTGATTTATTTGCAGTGCATGTAGTGGATTTAAGATATGTCTTCTATAATTAAACAGCTCTGAAGCTGACATTTATTTAGGGAAAATATTCTATGTGTAGTGTACTTTGGGATTTTGGCTTAGTTACCTACCAGGTTTTGAGGCTTTGGGCAGTGTTGGGGCTAGACAGGGCCAATAGACAAAGTCCTTGAACAGGAAGGTCTCTGGGAAGCAAAAAGCCTTTTTTGTTTTGCTTTAATTGAAGAGGTTTTAGCCTCAGCAGTAAATAGGGAGATTATGAAGTTGTGAGGGAGGAGGCACTGAGGAGAAAGGGACGATTACCAGGCAGTTTTAGTTGTTGCACACAAGTCTGCTTGAAAGAATGCCAAGTTAATGCAACATAACTCCTTACCTTCATTCCTCTGCTGTCCACTTCTCATATTGGCTTTAATTATTCAAAAATTCTCTTTGATTTTTTTTCAAGGCATTTGGGAAAGGCCTCATAAGTTGGCAGAAACTGCGATTGGTTAATTTTTTCGTGCTTTGCAGTTAAAGCCCCTCGAATATGTATTTTTCAAGTTCATTGTACTAAAGAAGCTGCAATTCTGTGTTTAATGAAGGGTAATGCTAACCTTATGTGATAACTGAGTTGAGGAGAATCAGATGTACAGTGAATTGTGAACTTTACAAAACTTCTTTGATTTCTGTTCATGCCTCCAAATTTCAGCTTCTCTTATGCCAGGTAGATAAGATAAGCACCCCTGCTTCTGGTTTTGGGTTGGTTATCTGAGAATTCTGTGTGGGTTTGTGCAACAAATCAGCACCTTTGTGCAGCTAATGGTACATTTAGGTCTGTGTTATTTCAGCTGCCAGTGATAGCTCAGTTTCTGAAAACCCCTAGGGCCTTTCTTCCTCATACTCCAGTTGTATAACAACCTGAAATTTGAGTAGGCTTTGGTCATTATTTAGTCTGCCACAAAATATCATCCATCAATAGTTTGTTCTTGATCAGCTTTAATAATGTATGGAAAATATCACTAATTACTTCTTGAACAAAAAATTAAAGGGAAGATAGCAATCAGGAATCCATATGACTAGAGCACATTTGCATAGTATTCAGGATCAAAATTCCCTGCAAGTCCTTGAATTCTAAATTTTGGAGCTTGTATGGGACCATAAAACTCAGGTGGTGGTTCTGAGAGCAGTGGATGTTTGTTCATGCCTTGCCTGTTTTGCAATGCAGAATGTCCATCTTGTGTTCAGAGATGAAGTAAGCTGTTTACAATATTTTAACTGTGAATGTTGCCTTTTTTTTTTTTCATAAAGGAAATGGTGAATGTTGCCTTTTTTTATGACATTTTTGCTAGAATTTTCCCTGTAGAGAAAATGCATGGTTCTCTTTTCATATTAATAATGGGGATTTTTCTTTTTTAGTCAAAGCTTTTTGTTACTGAAGATAAGGCAGCAATGCAGGTGGGGTTGCCTGATGGAATGGGAAACCCCCATGTGTTAGACATAACACATAATTACGTTCTTCACACCCTGGAGCAAATATCACCTGCAACCAAGCTGTACAGCTGTGGCTGGTGCTGAGCTGTAGCTACTATCACCTGCTGTCTCAAACCTGGCACTTCAAAAGAAACAGGAGTATGTGTGGTACAATCCTGGTGCTCCTAGTTCGGGTAGAGAAAGAGTGATACCAGAATTGGGGTTGCTCCATGTGTTTGTGGTTTGTTGTGCCAGTGCTGAAAACTGGCAGATGCAGTTACAGTGTGAATGCACAAGTAGTTAAACAGGAATAGGATCAAGTTTTATTTGCATACCAGACCTACATCAGTGCAACCTGTACTGGCTTAGCACTGCCTTGTAACTGTCCACCTTACATCACCAGTGTTCTTTATCTCTGCTGTAGTGTAAGGATGCAAATGCCAAGTACATGCAGTCAGCTTAGGTAAATCAATATTTATTGAACTCTGAAAACCATCTGGATTTCTGATGAGCAACCTCCCTCTCTCCATGCAAATGGAGCCCCAAAGACATCAATGGTATGTATTATAAACAGAAGCAGCTCAATGGGGAGCCAGTTGCCCACCCATCCCATGATGTGTTTATCCAGCTGTGTGCTGGACATTTTGTCCAGAAGGATCCTGTGAGAGACAGTATTGAAAGCTTTACTGAAATCCAAAAGGATTAGATCAACTGGCTTCCCCTGATCAACTAGGTGAGTTACCTATTGCCGTAAGAGGAAATCAGGTTTGATAAGCAGGACTTTCACAAAGCCGTGCTGTGATCAATAACTGCATCCTTTAGGTGTTCAAAGGCATTTTCCCAATTTACTAACTAGCTTCCTGAGCAGCCTGAAGTCTGCTCTCCTCATGTCTAGAGCTGAAGTTTTCCTGGCACTTTTCCTCCTGTCAACACAGATTTTAGACTTGATCGCCTCACAGTCACTGTGGTCAATCTCCACTCACGAGACCCTCTCTTAACACACAACAACCCAACCCAAAACAGGCAGCAGTGAACTTCTGTAGGATTTCAGGTATGTCTGAAGAGCACTATGTCCTACTGTGTAATGCACAATGTTTGGCTGTGTCTTTTCACTGTAAAGCTGATGACAGTCTAAGGACAGGGGTAGATGGGGCGAGTACATACAGATAGATCACAACAATTTTAATGACATGGAATTATATGAAGGATTCTTTTTTACCTTCTCTGTCCTCTTTTGCATTAAATCAATGTCCAGGTTTACCAAATAAGAAATATTTTGGTTCAGCACACATTGTTGGAAGTAAGATCAAAGAACTATGTCTGTCATTTTCTAGCATCTGAAGAAAAAAAGTTACATAACTTTCCCAATTTTTTTCCCCTGGCACAGAAGCAAAGCCTGCTATTTTGAGTTCTGTAAAACAGTAGCCTTACTGGGTCATGAGACCAAGTTTTGTGAAGCATATCCATAGTAGTATTCATGTTTTCTTCTAGGAAAAAAAGCTACACTACCAGGGTAGTAATGGTAGGGACATTGCTTTCCATTTTATAATCAGTGAATTTTTGCTTTTTCAGATGGGAAATTTTTAAATTGTGACAGCTTGTTCCAGCCAGTTCTTGCTAGTAACAATTTGTTCTGTTCTGTTGTTTTGCTGTAACCCAAACGACTTGGAAACAATGCAAGACATCCTGTAGTTCAGGCTCTGTTGGAACAGTAAAGCTCTCATGCCCAAACTAAAACAAGGATAATCACATGCCTCTGCAAAGCTGTTTAAAATAGTGTGGACTTTGTTTGTTTATTGTGCTTCTCATATTTTAGAAATCCCCATGAAACATTTTAACCAGTCCTTTGTAGTATATCTATATAGATAAACTTGCATTTTTAAGTGACTGACAAACCCCTGTTATTCACAGTATTTGCTGCTCTTCTCTAAGATTTTCTTAGCATACTCATCTTTTCTGTAGTAATGGTCTTACCCATGTCACCATGTTCTATGAAAAATCTGTGCTGCAGTGATAAATATGGTAACTCTTAGGTACTTCACTATAAACCTGATGAATAAACAGAGCCAGCGTAGCACTAAGTCAAAATGCAGGTAACTGCTTGGCAGAACTGAGTCAGCTTCCAAGTAGTGTGTGCTTCCACTTTTTGGGGATAGCGTTTTTCTCCTGGTTCTTTCTAGAACCTACCAACCGTGGCTGAGCTTCCTGGCACTGCAGATGCACTTCATGGCTGTCTCCTACCTGTCTTTGTGGCTTAGCTGATACATGCATTGGACCACAAGCCTCTGGAATGAAGTTTTCTCTCAGAGCTTCTAGCAGCATAGTATGCAGCGCAGATCAGTATACACAAGCCAAGACTTCAATTTTTTGCCAGCAAATTGTGTTGTTTCCTCTTCCAGAAAACTGACTCTTGTGACACCCAGTGGCATGAAGAGTTGTGAACATAAGGTATTTAATCCTTTATGAGATTCCTTAGACTAGAAAGCAGCCCTCTCTCAAGTTAGAGAGTCAAATTTGCTGGCTGATGGAGAAAAATAGCATGAATGTGCATGGACCAGGATTGCATGAGCAGGAATAGGGATGCCACTCATTGCCATCTGATGTTGCTGTGAGGATTGCAGGTGTGCTCAATCTCCCTGGGTTTTCCCCTCACGCGGCTCTTCCTTCAGCAAGCAGTGGTGCTCATTTGTATTTGTAAAGAGCCATTCTCTTTACTTAATTGATGGAAAACACTGGGGGGTTTTGGTTCAGTTCTCTGTTGCAGTCGTCTTACCCTAGGTCCAAATTGGCTGTAGTGCAGATGTAAAAGAGGGAAGAGGGAAATGGGATTGCACTGCCTCTGCTTTAATCCACTGTGAAACCACAGCCTGCATCTCCAAAGAACGGGAGTTTCCACAGCTCATTATCCCCCTGGCTAGTCTTTGACTTAAACCTATATGATGGCATCTGGCTCACCAAAGTTGTGTCTGCCTTTGTTAGCAGGTGACTCCAGCCTTCGCTTCGGCAGCATCAAGACTACTCCCATCTCCTCTGAGGAAGGTTTCTTTGGGGAGGGTGCTGTTACAGCACCTTCTTCTCAGTTCTTCTGTTCCTGTCACCACTGTGTAGCCCAGCAATTTGCAGGGCTACCCAGGAAACCTGATACCGACACAAACTTATG